ATTACATATATTACGGGTCGGAAAAGCCTTATTAAGTAACTGATACTCTATTGGATAGCTTTACTGCACTGCCATTTGTTATAGTAATTTAATTTCATGTATTCATTACAATTGTCATCGTCAAGCTTATAGTGTTTTTGTTCTAAATATAAAAAAGGTCGGGGAATCGTCATTAAATAACTGATAATCCAGTTACCAGCTTTAGTTCGATGCCAATTTCTAAGGCGTCAATACAATTTAGCTTCATGTATTGATTAAAATTGTCATTTCTAGACTCTCGTTGATTCCTATTAGCATGACAAGATTGCTTAAAAACGGTCCGAATATAAATAGAGTCAGAAAACCATGCTCGACTTAAGTTTCGAGATGTAGTGAATTTTCTATTGTATATTGCATACACAGACTGAATGCTGTGCTGGATTGATCGACTGGATTGATTAGCCTTAAAAGCATTTCGTTCCTATTATTATTATTATTTCTATTAGCATGACAAGATTGTTAAAAGATGGTTCGAATATAAAAGGGTAGGAGAATATACTTATATGACATATATTAAGAAGATAGGAATCACTCTTATAAAGATAAAGAAACTGCTATGTTTCTGGAACTAGTCAATATTACTCCGTATAAGGATTCTGTCTCTTATACAATACATGAGTTTACAGTGTAATTGTGTAGACATAACTTTTTTTGCCGACAAATACACTTACAGACTTCAAATAGTGATGCTACCGATATATGTATATTAGAAGAACAGTTAGACTAAGCATATTACTACTCTACTGTATCAATAACTGTTTCAGTTATTTTTTAGTACGTGTATATAATTTGTTGTTATTCATTTAATGCGGTCTTTTGTAATAAAATGGACTATAGTTCAAAAAGTGCTATAAAGAAAATTAAAATACTTCGTCTATATATTTCTATGTACGAAGAAAAGTTTAAACTCAAGACAGTACTTAAAAAACGCACGACCGTGGGAAACAACGAATATTGTGCCTTGACAATCTACGATGTCTTAATAAAAATACAAAATCGCTCTCTTCAGAAACTGTCTAAAAAATAAAAATAGTTATCGTGTTAGCTGATGTTCCAGACGAATAAATCACTAGAATCACTAAAATCATAAATAAATCAAGAAATAGAAAAATGTGTTGTTCCTTTAGATTACGGAGACTGGAAATTATGACATTAACGTTTTTATTTATTATTTATAATGAGTGTAGATCATCTTTTATTCACATTAATGTTTTATTTATTTTTAACCGTACTAAGGAATTTCAATAAAAGCATATAGTAGTAAAACAAAAAAACTTAGAGATACTAAGTAATATGAAATTCAGTTTGATAAATTTATTGTATAATTACTGAATACTATTAAATGTTAATTTAATGAATATTTAATGTTTCTTAAAGTTAGTTAGATTTATTTGTATAATATTTAAATTGAAATTAGCGAAATTTTTTCATTAACTCAAACTTTTTATTAGCCCAAAGAGTGAAAATTCCTTTATGAGTGTGAATAATTATTACCTGAAAACAAATCGTAAAAATGGAAATTTTCTAAGGATTGTAGATATAAATAAAATATAAATAAAATATCTTCAAAGCTAAAGAAAATTAATAGATTTAGTTATTCGTGTTAAGAAAACCTATTAAATTAAAAGTCAAAATTCTGTTGTAAATAAGACATATGAAAATAGCAGAAGAAACTCACATTAAAGTAAAAATATCTGTAAAAATATCTATATCTGATACTCAGATACTCAGATATTCAGATACTTCACATAAATTTGCTTTAAGATATTCTAACATTGAATCATCAATTCTTCATACAAAATAAATTTTCTTTTGTTTAAAAAATTAACAAAAAAAAATAAAAAAAATTAGTTTAATTAAAAAAGTTTTTCCCTCGCGTGCGATTGTATCGCTTGTAAACCTGCGACTAACATTGTAAATTAGCAAGGTCATTCCGTACGATTGTTGGTATTATTTTTCAAATGCTTAGATTTTTTCAAATTATTTTGAAGCGAACTTATGCAATGAGCACTCATACCTAAAGAACACAGACAGCACAGCCAGTTTTTTACCACTTAATAAATTTAACGATAAAAATCTTTTACTTATGCAAAAATGCTGTGACGAGCAGCAGTACAATGTGCCTTCAACTTGAACTTGACAGCTATGACGGTTCTGAACATTAAAAATTATAAATTCATATATACATCTATACATCCACACATGTATACGTTTATATATCCGAAAAAAAACAAAATACTCCTTACACGACTAATACAACTGGTATGAAGTCATTAAATAGAAGTTCAAGACTATAAAAAATCTAATGGACTTTTAAGGCATATTTTCATGCGAATTCTAATTAAACGCTACTCATAAATTTAATTAAAATTTTAATTTTAATTTATAATAATAACACTTACATGTTCTAAAAAATGTGTACATAGCTTATAACTTCATTTGTGGCGTAATTAAGAACTTATATTATTAATCATAATAATAATAATAATAATAATTCTGTAAAATATTTTATTTAAATAAAACAAAAAATTTAACAATTAAAAACACAAAAAAAGAAACAAAATAAAAACATTAATAAAAAAAATTCTGCAAAAATATTTTAATAACTGAAAAATACATAATAAAAACAAATATGAGACACGGACAAGATACAAGATACAAGGATATAAACTGTTTCCAAGAATTATATACTTTTAAATTTAAAAATAAATAAATCCAAGCCTACAGACGAATCGTAACTATTAGCTAAATATTTATAAAAATAAAAATAATTCTCACTAAACTAAACAATTACTTGTAATTAATAAATTATTAACTATAAAAAAAAAATTGGTTTATTTGCTTTAGTGACTTAACACTTTCAACCTTTAAAAATTTAATTTATAATAGAATTCTGCAATTCATAAAACTATATATATGTTAAGCAGACTTTGAATATTTAATTATTGTTAAAAAAAAATATTTATATACATAAAATATTTTTACTTCAGAAATTACTCTTTTTGTTATTATAAGATAAGTCAACGAAGTGAAACATTTAGTACAAAATTTTAAATAGTATCTTTTTCATTTCATTTTCTTACTCTTACCGAATAGAAAGTAAACCATAATATAGAACCAAAATTAAAAAAAAAAACTTTAAATTCAAACCATTAAGTCATAATTTTTTACCAGAGACATGTTTTAAATATTACTAACAAAAAATAACTGCTATACCTTAAATATAAAACGACTTGTTGACTTTTACATTAGAATTACTAGACACGGATTTTATTGCTATAATTATTGCCATAATTATTCTACCTATATTTATTATATACTTATCATACTATATACTATAATATATATTATATTAGACTATATACTTATTTTCTGCGATTTTCTATCTTTGACTAACAGAAAGAACAGCTTTTAAAGAAATACTTACCTATAACAGTTTGTTATCGATAACTGCTGATCGATAAGCACTGATAATTGGTAATAACTGCTTAACAGTAAGTACCGCTTATCGCTGCTTATGATACGAATGAGTCGTCCTCGAATTCATTCGTAAAGACTGCTTATTAGTATGAACTGTTTATTAGTAAAAACTGCTCATCGATAATTACTGATCATTAATAAGAACTGCCGGTAAAGTCCATGTTATGTAGAGTGTCACGGACACGTCAAGATCAAAATTGTTGTTGTTTTCAATACAAATTAAAAAACTGCGAGTGAAAGAAAAAAAAATCTGTTTACATTCCGTCATGAGAGTTGAGGCTATCAATGTCATGTCACTCAGTCAAAGCCGTGTTGTATATATATATGTGCATATTTCCTTTAAAATTTAGGCCCAACCAAAAAGTACAAAAGTCATAATAAATATACGAAATTGACAAACTGATGTGACACTCTGCATAACATGTATTTTCGTCATACCCGAATAGAGGCAATTTTAACGTGCCCCTAACACTCTACCGAACATGGACATAAGGACTATTCATTAGTAAGAACTGCTCATTGGTAAGAGCTGCTCTTCAGTAAGAACTATTAGCAAAACAGTTCATACCTCAAGTAAAATTAGTATATAAGTAAAATTTATATTATGTATAAACTCGAAATGTTACAAGATTCACATTTATGGAAGCTGAAGGAAATTTAACAAGGTGCTCGCTAAACTCTACGATATTCATAAAACTGTACTGATGATTCTTTAAAGAGTGTTTATTTATACTGATCATATGTATTCATAGTATCTCATAGTATCATAGTATCTGAACTGATTTTACTAAACTTTTTTTTGACTTAATTTTCTTATAAAGTTTTCTTTATTATTTATGTTAAACTTCAAGCCTCGTTTTGGATACAGATTATGAAAATTTGTTCATCATATTATGTACAAGCTTAGTTTTTTCTTTGATTACGTTACATATAAATATGTGATATTCTGTTCCCTATTCTTTTCCTGGTCTTTCCAGGTCTTTGCAATATAAAAACGTCAAATACATTAAATTTTATTTCTTCATTTTGCCCGTTTGCAATTATTTATCTTAAGGAAAATACATAATTTTTTCTAATGCCTCGTATACCTTAGGTTAGAAACCTGATGTTGCCGCCGCTGATTTTACTGTCATTTCCGCCGTTGTTAGTTAAGAAATTTTCCCAAGTATTTTGCTTGGCACAAAAATAATGACATAAAACTGATAATTTGAGATAAAAACCAAGCAATCTGAACTTCCGCAATTATTTATATAAAATCTTAGATAACAATTATTTAACACTTAAAAATGTAGCGCAACATATATAATAAATAATAATTTTTGCTAATGCAGATTTAATTATGACTTTTATTTTTTTCTTCTTCTCACATCTAAAAGAAATATTATTAACATTTATGTATGTATATATAATGTGTATTTTTATTATTATTGTTTATTTTATCATAATTTTTAATTTTTTTATATCTGTTCTCGTTTTTGCAGGTATATTCACAACAATTATCATCACCATATCAAACAAATCTCAAAAATAGTCGATTTCGTGGCGAAGTATTTTTTCTAAATCTCGAGGATGGCTATTTCGGCTGTCAAGTTAATGAATCCACAGATTACTTACAAGTATACGACTTATCGAAATTATGCGACGGTAATCAAGATTGCTTTCTTGGTTCCGATGAGCTGAATAAGGAGCTCAAATGCACAAGTAAGTAAAAAAAATGCTATTTGAAAAAATAAATGAATAAAAATAATAAAATAATATTTGGAATATATTGAAATATAAATATTTGAAAGAAAAAAAAAACATAAAAAATTTAATAAAAAAGAAATAAAAATAAATTATGAACTTAATAACATAGAATATAAAAAAAAAAGAAATATTAAATTAAAAATAAATTTAAAAAAATAACAAATATATATGAAAAAAAAAATGAAAAATATATATGAAAAAAAAAATGAAAAAATATATAAAAAAAAAAATTAAAACTATATAAGAAAAAATAAATAAAATAAAAAGCACACAACATAAATTAAATATATGGTACATATAAAATAAAAGTAAAGAATTAAAAATAAAATCAAATACAACATAAAAAATTAAACAAAATTTAAATAAAAATTATAAAAAAATTAAAAATTAAATAAAAATTACAATTGGAAAAACAATAAAAAAACAATTTATAATTGCTTAATTTTGTTATTAAATTATCATATTTATTATCGTAATAATAAAATATAACAAAATTTATTTAAAATATAGAAATAAAGTAAATGAAAAAATTAAAAAAAAATTTTAAAAAAATAAAAAAATTTGAAAATAACAAATTTAATGAAAAAAATAAATAAAAATAAAAAAGTAAATGAAAATAAGTAGAAATAAAAAAATAAATAAAAACAATTTATTTAAAAATATTTAATTTTGTTATTAAATTGACATATTTGCTTATTTAATATTGCAGATGACTGTGATAAGGATGGCACCCACTGCACCAATGGTGTTTGCCTGAATGGTGTTTGCCACTGCAATGACGGTTACGGAGGTTGTAATTGCAATATTCAAGGTAAGATATAGTTAAGATTTTAATTTATTAAGTTTATCGGTTCATTTACCCTGGTCCAAAAAACGAAAAAAATTGTGAGGAAAGAGTGATACGTTTTTAATATTTACTGAGATTACTGATTACTGAGAGTACTTGAGAGAGCGCTACCAAAAAAAATTATACAGTCTATATGATCTTTTTCGTATCTGAAATAAAGTGATTAAAGAAAGAATTAGTATTATTATTCTTCGGTTGTTTGAAATTTTTATGTAAAAATTATATTCAAAATTTATTATTTTATAAAATTCCAAAAAATTATCCAAAAAAGGAAAAAAATTGTATAGGAAGATAAATCCGTTCTTCATATTTACTAAGATACTGACAAATCATTAATACTTCTTTCAAAAAACAAAAAATTTCGTATTTAAAAGGGAAATAGTTTTTTATTATCTATTATAATATTGATAATATTATAATATATTATAATATATAATTTAAGAGAACTCTGCCAATCGAAATTTATACAGTCTAAAAGATTTTTTTTTTGTTTTTTTTAGACTAGATGAATCATTATCTGAATTTAGAAGATATTATTGAAAAGAATTATTATTATTACTGTGTGATTTTAAATTTTTATGTAAGAATTAATATTAGAATTTATTGTTTTATAAAATATAATTACATTTTTTTCTCAATATGTATTTACATATCAAGTTCTGTATATTTTGATGTTTAGTTCATATCTATTCTTAAACAAATTAGAAAAAATGTTCATGCATTCATCATATTTTAATTACTCGACTTAAGGAAGCAATAATTTTAGTTCAAAAAAATAAAAAAGAAAAATAATAATAATAATAAATGAAAATAGTTTCCCATCACTGCCAAACCCTATTAACAATTTAGACAACAAAAAAATTATCAATTATCGCGCAATTGCTGTCAAAAGTAGCTGTTTTTTGTGTCGATTCAGAACTGAAATAATATAAATAATATTATATTAAAATGAATAATATCGTTAAAGGTGCATCTTATTAATTTGTTAATATTTTAAAATTTTTTACAGATGAGAATGAATGCAAATTTCGCCCCTGTGACGTTTTTGCACACTGCACCAATACGCTCGGTAGTTTTACGTGTACCTGTTTTCCTGGCTATCGTGGAGATGGTATTCATTGTGAAGGTAAGTACCAATGCAATCATACTGTACCTAGTAGTATAGACTACCCGTACTCTCCTTCGTTCACTGACTGCTAGTATAACTCTGTACTAAACCAAAACAATTAGCCAACAATAGAACAATGCAACGATGCACAATGCAAAGATGCAACGATGCAGTAATGCAGTAATGCACTTACTTCCGTCTGAATTGAACTTGTGTATGCGAATTCGTTAAAGCGTTGCCATATTGTTGAGTTAAACACTTTGTTGCATAGTTAACGGTAAAAAAACAGCCATTTATAATGTTTGTTGTCATGTCGTTATGTCATCATAAAAATATATATTTAATTGTGTTACCTTTAACCAACAAAAGTAAACAATAAGATACTAACTTAAAGCAAAAGGCAAAACCTCCAGTACGTAATGCAATGCAAAGAAAGAATCTAATCACAATCATAACAAAAACCAACAACTTACAATAACTCTAAGCCGAGCTTAGTGAAAAACACTTAACAAAACGAGTACAAACAAGTTTCTTGTTGGCCATTTCATTTGTTAGAAGGAAAAAAATCAAAGCAATATCAAAGGAAATTTAAACCGGTCAACAAAATAGAGTTTAATACATTATATAATAAACAAGCAAATAATCTAAGAAACTAGTTGAGAGCACACAAAACCAAGAGTTATACTCAGGGCCAGTTCAACCCACTTTAGGGCCCTCCCTAGATATTTTCATCTTACCAGGCTAACGTCTAGGAAAATCACTATCAATATATTTATTATATATTTTATTGGTTTTAGAAGAGGGTACTGATGCAATAACTGCGTATTAATTATAGAAAAATATAGTTAATATTATTCTTATTATCAAAAAAAACTAATCATAAATTATTGAGAAGAATTTGACTTTCACTAAGAATTCATAAGAGCGCATTTTCTTTAGATTTTAGAATTCGCTATTCCCTTACAGAAAGCGATATATTCCATTTTATTTATATAAAAAAGACCGTTTGATCGAACCCTAAACATTTATCTCTGCGTATATGTAGTAATCCAGCCCTGACTATACTTGTAGATACCATTACGCAAAATGTAAGATTTTCGCTGAAAAGGTGTACGGTTACACTGTAAAAAATTAATTGATATAAGCGTTCAAATAGAAATGTTTACTTAAAAAGATACTGTTAATTTTCTTGCAACGTTTTCTTTTCTTTATCTATATAGTATTGTTTGTCATTCATTTTAAAGCAAACCAAGTTTATTATCAGGCATGACTAAACACTAAACAAAATAGCAATTTACGATTAGTTTTTCTATTGTATCGATTACAATAAAAGTAGGTTTTTGAAGCTTTGAATTATAATCTTTTCGCATTTACATAAATTCCATATTTTTTTATAAAAATTTCATTACATTTGAATTAAGATTGTTTCAGATAATAATTTTCTTTCCCATTTTTTTCGTTTGAATTAGATTCGTCCGAGAAAAAAAATGTTAATTCATGCGTAATATTTCGCATGATTTAGTTATGTTCGATTTAGTTATAGTGTTCTATAGGTTATTAATGTAATAACAATAATATATTTGTATTTAAAAATCACACTTCCTATATCTTTACATATAAACTCTATATAGAAGGTATTAAATTGATATTAATAAAAAAAAATCGTTAATATACTTTCTATATGGTATAATAAATACACGGTTGTATTATTTGTCAATAGCACAGGATTGTTATCTGTTTTAAAGATTGTTATATTTTCATGATATATTCCTCAACTTTATAATTATTAAAATTATTTCGTGAACTTTTTTAATGTTTTCTAAAGCAACGGACGAATCCGGCAATCCATGGTGTTGAGTAGTATTGAAACCTGTACGGTCTTTTGTATGTGCAAACTGAGCAATTCATAGATACAGTCAGATAAAACGTTTCAAGCCATTGCTAAATTTACAGTGTATTTTCTTATCAAAAAATACTGATTCAATTTAGATTTTTCCATTATTTTGAAATTTACTACAGTAACGTCATTGAAAGTACTATAACGAATCTGCTAAACGTGACCTTTTCTTGAGATTTTGTCACAAACTGTTCGAAGATTGCCACGTTCTAAAAAAATCATGTGAATATTTCTAAATATATCGTACATCACGAATTTATTGAGTGATGTTATAAGCTATGACTAATCAACGATAGATTCTGCTCACTAAAGATTATAAATTATTGTTATATTAAAGCAAAATATTTTTGTTATTCCAATAAAATTTATTGCTTGGAATAGATGTAATAGTTGTTATAATCACTTTAAATGACAGTAAAGAATTGTTAAGCCAGTCTTAGTTTGCAAGCCTCACTCTTTCAGTTATTACACTGTATGATCTTTACAAACCCAACGAAACCTGTGTTCTGCATTAATACATAAATATAGGAATAATTATCATTCCTAAAACACACCGTAATACTCATCATCAATGCATTTTATAACAGAAAGAAATGTCAGATTATATATAATTTTGTTGGCTTTCTTTTTGTCTATGTGAAAGAAATCTCTCTCTTAACTTTGAGATGAATTATGTAATGCTATTCTTTATTTCACTTTATTTTTATTATTATTTGAAATATGAAAATTCTACTTCCATTTTTCTTTCTTCTTGCTATTGTTGCTAATGCCATTGTTTAGAGTTACATTGTTCTTTTATACGTTATTTACTGGAAACATAATCCATTGTTCAGAACATAGAAGAACAGGTGAACCCTAATATACCTATATGAATGCGGAAAACAGTAATACTGCAACGGAAATGATAAGTGGATCAAGAGTTTTATATCTTGTCCAAAAGCACCGTCATTTCACAAATAGCTTCGTTTAATCTTTTTCTTTATTAGTGTTAAATGGACATTTTAAATCCATACAAAATGTTAATTTGACTTGAGAAACTATAGGAAAATATTTTGCTGGATTAACCTTGATTAAATATATAAATGAAGCAAATTTTACATAAAACTATGTGATATATAATTAAATTATTGAGGTGAGACTCTTAAAAAGTGAAATAAGAGCAACTATATATTAAACATTGAAATACTAGAAATGTTAACAAAAAAAACTTATGATATTCTTGACATACTCGAAATTTGCGCTGAAAGAAAGGACATACTTAACTTGAAAGTTCTGTTCCAAAACTTCATTAGTACGAATCGTATTGAACTCATAATTTATTCCTTCTACTTAATTACAGAAGCGATTCTCCATAGATTTCAAAACTCAGCCTACACATTTTTATTTAAATATAATTGAACTATAGAATTATAATTTAAAAAATTTATTTATTAGTGAACCTAATAAAGTTTCATTAAGAAATATACTACCATTTTCTTTAAACAAATGTTAGACTTATCTATATTTATGACGAATAAGAATTTAAACAACATAGTCCAAAAATTATACATAAACAATTGAACCAACAGATGTTTCCAAAGACCACTGATGGCGGATATTTGGCGATATCTTAAGAATTTACTTGATTAAACATTTTTTGGATTTAAAAATTTTTTCACTATTACCCTGTATTCTATACGAAATATACTCACTGTCATAGGACCAAAATTCTTAATTCGATTTAGCAGCATATGTAACTTATTCTAATAATAAGCAAAGACAAGTAAATTTCTGTTTCAAGTTATGTTCTGTATATTATATAAAACGAGTAAATAGTCACTGAAAAATTTGTTAACCTATATAAATTATATAGCATATTAATAATACAATACCTATCAGTCTACAACATATATATTCAATGTTATCTTTTATTGTTGTCTCTCTCTCACACTCATTTTCTTGATAAAATATTGTTAAAAGCTTCATTAGAGTTAGTCAGTACCATGACATTGTTACTAGATAAAAAAGAACTTGGCTTAATAAATTTTGAATATATGAGTATTCATACTCACAGATTCATAGGGTGATTTTGTATTGATATTTACAGTCATCATCACATTTATCAATTGATATTATAATATTCCTTACACTTTCTCTCGTATCCACATATTTCACGTCTCTAGAATGTCACACATTTCTCCGATATGTGCATTATGCGTTTAAGTACCGTATTACGGTATATATTTAATATATATCGAATTTGTATATATTACGAAGCTTCTCGCTAAGACTATTGTCTTCATTGGCACGTATAATAAGGAATTCGGGGCTGAGCATTTTGAAACGCTTTATTTCCTCTGCTTATATATTCTGTTGTCATATATATTATAGGTGTCTTTTTAAATACATTTAGGAGTTCTTGTAGGTAGACATATAGGTGTCTAACTGCTGGACTCATATCCTAAAAGAAAGAAAATAATTTTCATAGAATCTCCAGTTTTCGTATAGACTGATTTAAAACGATTTCATAAAATAAATACTTTAAGTTTGCAACAAAAAAAAAAATTCGATTAAATACTATTGCAAAAAAATTACAACTTACTTCGTCTATTCTATTCTATTTAAAAGTGATTATATTTTTATATAATATATTTAAATTGTTGGCTACCACATAGTTGGTACATAAGTTGTTGGTAAGAAGAATGTAAAATGCATTGCTAACGCTCATTTTCTGTATATAATTAATGTGTTGTAAGCAATTTTTTATCACAATCACTGTAATCGCAATTTATTAGAAGAAACTTAAAAGTCAAAGTGTCAGATCGACGGGCAGATGTTACATTTTAATGCGCATGTTTGCGTCTCGACCAGCCCTCCATCCAGTAGTTTGGTCTAGTTTCTAAGTTGAACGTAATGGGAAAATGAAGAAGCCTTTCGAAAGCAATTTTTCTTCTGCATTAAAACTTCTTTCCATGCTGAAAATGGTATCTTCTTGTCTTCGTGATTGTGTGCAGTTTCCTGCAACTACAACTCTTGCTCCAGCTGCAACCAATATATGTATAACGGTCTAAAGGCCCCTCCAATTGATGAAAAAAAAAAAGAAAAGCAGCAAAGTGGAATGAAATGCATATTTAAAAATTAGCATTTTGCAAGTTGCAAGTTACCACCTGCTTTAATATTGTAAAATATTTTTGAGTTCAATAGTTTGAACGACGCACTTTAACGTCTATTCAGATGCGGCTTGGTACTTCATTGATAGCACAAAGTTATAGTTAATTTATGCCATTCAATTTAAAAATTTTTAATTGAATAATATTAGCATTTTTTGTGTAGTTTGTGTAGAACGCTATTGTCTAACTAAATAACATAAATGTGGGAGATGATTTATTGGTCTAAGAAACGATGATGAGACATAGTGAGATCTATTTTCAGTTACTAACAGGTTCACCCAAAAATAATGTTCAATCAGAAATATTTCAAAAATAGTGCATATATATAGATTATATTATATACACATATTTATTTACTTCTTCATTTATTTATATTAATTTTAAACTTAACTAAGAATAAGGAACTGGACTACTAGGTCCTTCGTCCTTTATATACATATATGTTTTATGATTGTATGCCGATTAAGTTATTAATAATTATTAATTAGATACTTAATTTAATTCGAAAATTAAATTTATTGAGCAGAATCAATTAAATTTCATTTTTCCCAAAAGTTTCAATTATTTTAATATTTTAATTTTTTATTTTTATTATTTTATCGTATATTATTTTACGAATAATTATTTTAAAAGAATTATCCACCTATCAGGCACCATTTTCCTGCAAACAAACTCTGAAGCGTTGTATAAGTACAATATATGGTTTAATTTATATATTGAGAATTGGGAATTTTATGACTAAGAGATTTCTTTGGTGGACCCATTTATGAACACTTCATAACTTATTTAATATTAATTTTGGGTTTAATACGATCAAAAAATCATGAACTATACTTATGTTATATATTTAGAAGGTACGTTGTATATATAGTAATACAAAACATATTGTTCAAATATCAAAAGTCAGAAAAAAACACCTCAGTGTGTATTACTGATAAATATATGTATATGATTTAACAGCGCTATGAGACTGAATTTAAAAGATTACCCCATATTGTTGAAAGCTATAGTAACAAAAGATTAAAAAAAAGAGATGAATCTATAGTATTTCTTTCAAACATGAATGAAGTTTTGCTTCAACTGCTTATAGGAATAGAGGTGCTTACATTCCTGCTAATTTAAAACTGTGTATAGATTACTAAACATCTTTCTTAACGAATTCCTATTTGACTAGTAATAAAAGTTTAACGGTACAACAGTTGTATATTGAAGACCTGTTTGGTTGGTTTGTTGCAATGACAAGTCAGTAGATATACATCCGCTGTCCATAATTATCAATTTTTCGCCGTTTTACTGCCACATTCCTCACAAGAACTCTTAAGATATAAAAAGACAAAAACTAAATCCATTCCATCGAACTTAGATAATCTAAAAGATGTTTTGTTCATACTTATAAATAATCACGCAAACTGTCAAGAAGGTACTTCCCCACAAAACAGTAGTAGTTGTTTCCGTTTCCTGTAAGTCACCAAAATTTCTACAGTGGGTATTGAGAGTAATTTGCAGTTTCTTTGCAATTTCTATCCAGAGAGAACTACTGCCTTGTAGTATTGAAAACCTACTTAAATGATCACCTCTGGAGAGCCTTTATCTGTATGATCAAAATAGTATTATATTATAAAAATTGGCCAAGAGTGGTGAGTTAGTTAGGAAAATAGATTTATACTCGCAAAGAAATAGTTTTAGTGATAATATGCTTTTATCAAATAACTAAATACACAAAAATTAAAAATCGTAGTAAAAAAAAATAAGTTTAAAATGTGCATACATTTTGTAATCTGGGTGTATACATCAATTTCTGTCTGTATTCTAAACTTAAACCACAGTTCGGTAGTCTAATAGACTGCGTTAACGTCGGGTATTGCATAAATTAATGATTTTAAGAACAAAATATGAAATAATGATCAACAAATGAATTACAAATTCGTTGTTTGCTCTAAAACAAAACTCCCAAGAATAGGTCATTTAAATTACGCACTGCCTATAGAGGCTGGCTCACAGCGTACGAGTAAGTCGGACAATAGTTTGGCGGATATATGGCTAATGCAGATAGACGTACTGCAAGACAAACGGACAATAAAAAACTTTACAAAACTGACCATATTTTACACCTAAGGAAGGTTGCCGTCACGTTGGAAAATTCAAATGAAAATCACGATTTATAAAGGAAGTCAAGCACTTCAAGTATCTTAAAGTGTTAAAATTATTGCAGTAATCGCAACATTAGAAGCTATTTTTTCCAGTGTTCAAGTACTTAAAACGTTTTTCCAATTAATTTTAAACATGTACATGGAAGGTTTGTGCTATTTATTTGACATGCAACCAATATTGGCATTTTCACGGAGTTTAAGTATTTTGGCACCTCCTAAAAATGGAGAGTTACTATTCAGTTCAGTTCGAAGTATTTCGTTATTAATTGTGCTCCAGGTGGGACAGATTTATACTTTAAGAGTAATAAAAACACATACCTACACATGTATATAGCGTTGTTCTTTAACGAATGTATATAAAATACAAAAAATAACTTATCATCATGCCCTTTAGACCGTTTATAGCTTAACTGGGCCAGATTATGCATACGGATAAAAATAAATAAAATAAAATTACAATTTATGCAAGTACATAAGCGGACTTTGTGGCGCTTATATCTAAATAAAAAAAGGGAGTTCGGAGTTCCGCCAACATGCATCTTGGCATAAATTGTGAACGTGTTTTTAGCTTAAGATGCCAAAAATTGATAATGCCAGACTATGATATATATCCGCCTTTAGTCAGTCAGCCTTGTTACACATGTACATGTACGCCACGGACAAGACACTGCGTCCATAAACGTATAAGCTCGCCAACTGGTACTGCTATTAGCGGCTTAAAATATCACAAATCCATACGCTACAGTCTCAGAACAACTTGGCCAGCATTTTTCTTTTATGTTTTATTATAATTTTGCATATCATTATGATGTGAGCTTATCAAAGCAAAATGGTAGAAATTCAGCGTTTAGAACAAACAAACCAAGTACACCAACAACGCACTCGGACTACGAAAAAAGTTTTAAAAAAGTTGTTAAGCTTGGCTCAGTGCGGTGCGCCGCACAGCAGATTGACACGCGTAATTACTTTTGATGTTGCCACATGATATTTAAGCGATGAACATTTTTTCTCAAACGCAGTATATGGTATGTAGTCTGAAAAAATGGTAATAATAATTTAAGACATTTAATTAATGTGCCGCTAATGATCGCAACAAAAATTAATTTATTAATAATGTAAAAGAATAATTTTCACACTGACGAATCATTAATTATTTATGTTATTCACTGGCAAAGCGAAAAGAAAAAATAATATTAAATCATTTCTTTTTCGTTATGTACCATTAACAGGTGAAAGATTCGTTCCATATGCTCTTAATAAGACATCACTAAATAACCTATCCACATGATGGGCTTCATAACAGCAAGGTCACACCTTGCTTTTGTTATTTCAAATTTATAAATAATATTTCTATAATTTTAATTCCATATGCTATACACTTGTAATCCAAACAAATTCAGGGCTCAGCAAGTATTTAAGTTCTAAATATGTAATTTTCCATATATTTTACTATACAGTATACCTGTATAATAGCTACACAATGTAATTTTTATTTTAAAAAATCATATTTATAAAATATTAAATTCTTAATAATAATTCTTATATTAATATAAACATACGTTTATTAAAACGAAACTCACATTTAAATTCAATTCGATTTGTATAATACCTTGCGAAACCCTGAGATATGGTATCTGTGTACACAGGGTACTCTATTTCAATTAAATATATCTATTTGTAATAGATAAACTTTATTAGAAAAGAAGCTTAAAGTGACTGTGAAAGACTGTGTACATGATGACATATAACGTTTTAACGATCCTCACGTTGACTATATTGATATTCAGATGTCTGAGTTGGTGAAACAGCACCTTTACTCTATTTTATCTGTGGACAGTTTTAAGTCACACTAAATACGGGGCTTTACGGGGCTTTATAATATGATGGATCTGATGTCTTTGTATCTGCCTGTGCTTATCAAATTTCGCTGTATTTTTAGGATACTGAGAGTTGGATTATTGTGACTGTCAATTGTATTGAACAGTTTCAGAGCACGATCTTTAATGTATTTTTCAACTGAATCCACTTTCAGATCTCTGTGGATATCAGCTCCTCTTACATACCATGGGGCGTTAACCAGTTTTCTTAAGGCAATATTTTGCCCTCTTTGAAGAATTTTTAAAGTTGAGCTTGACTAAGACATAATTAAATCAGTTACTGAGTGATTATTATTGACAATAATGCTTCTACAGTTGAAAAACCCTAGAACATGTTTTGATTATTTCTACGTGATTTGAGTAATTTTCACAAGGACTAATGCATGATGAATTCACTTAAATTAGCTTAAAGTAATATAAGAAGTAATACTGCTTTGAAACTGATAAATGCTTACAAGTACACGTTAGGGTAAACGTTTAATTTATTATTTCATCATTAATGTATATTATCTTGCTTTTATCTACAATTTTACAAATGAACCTACTAATTAAATTATAAAAATATTCTAGTTTAATATAATTTATTAATATATAATTTTTTCATTGCCGTTTTTTCTGTGTATACTATAACAGCACAAAAAAATTAATGTTTAATTGAAAAAAAAATATCATCACTACAAATGAAACAATATCTTTAAATTAAAGATTGATTTAAGCTAAATTCCTTAATTCGAGACCTGATACTAGATCAAAGCCCAAAAAGTTAAAAAATGTATTTAAATCATTAGTTTTCAATCTTTTTTCTATATACTTTACCTAATCCCTTCTAATCCACCTAGCACCTATACACCTATTTACAAAATCATTACTCCGAACATAGCAGACAGTAATTATCTGCTAAATAATGCATTTTGACCATACAATACAAAGTTATAGAGTTTTCTGTTCTAAACTGTTGCATTTAGGACCTAATGATTTATATTTCTAGTATATTCAAAAGTTACTATACCCATGTATCAATTTTCGGTACTACTCATAGCTACTATTATGTTTTTCAAAATTAGCCCAAGTAACCTTAATCTGTATTCGTTGACAATAACATATTATTTCGTAATAAAAAATATATTAAATAATTTAAATGAAAGTAGTTTGGATTAATTATCTTTTTCGAATGTCTTCACAAAAAATGTATATTGCCTTTTTTGTGAAGTGGGAACAATATTGCGAAATACTGTTATAGAAAAAAAAAAATTTATATAAGTTGTCGATGTTGTAGATTGCAGATATGTGCTTGTGAAATCCCTTTTGAGACTGAAGAACGACACTTGGGCATTGAACTTGATGAGTCGCTCCTAGTCGTGAAGAAAAGCGGATATACAAACATATTTTGGCAACCGACCATGATTACTAATATGAATACTGCGCTACTGTCATTTTGTCAGTGGATCAAAAGATCCTATAGAAAACAATTTGTAAACTAGTTAATATTATTAATTGAAGAAGAAAAAATTAAAAGGTTGTGTTCAAAAAAACATTTAAAACAAAAAATAAAATAGAATCATTCCAAAGACATTACGGAAACAAGCTATAAAGGCAATTACTACAAAAAAAAAAGTGATCGCAGAAGTGATCCTAAAAAGTAGCAGAAGATAATTGCTACATTCATTAGGTCTGTCCGACTGTCTTATTTTGAACTACATCAAAGGTAACTATATGAAGAATTTTAATTTGGAACATGACAAAAATTTAAAGAATGTAGAAAGGCAAATTCTATTTTATACCCGCTATTAAATTCAATTAAAGACTTTCTTGCAAGCACATTAACTTTCCACTGAAATTGCTTGCCTAGTGAAAAATTACGATTGGCAAATGCGTTCCTCACTTTTGTCAGCTGTCAGTTAAAACCTCAAAACGAGCAAGCCTCAACCTCTAATTAAGAAGAAGAATTTCGCTGCACAGTTGTTGGCACAATGTTGAAAATTCTTATTTTCCTAAGAATCACATACAGTTTAAGCTCTCAAATAGCTCTTAATATTCTATTAAAATGCTCGTAACTGTTTTCTAGTGTCCATTAATATGATTGCTTCTTTCACTTGTGACCAACCTGCCTATATATGAAATCGTTAGAATAGATAATAAATTCTTCTTACCTCCTGTTAACGTTAAATTTAATTGACTGTTTTCAATGTTTCATCGGTACACTTCCATGTGATTTAAGTGAATATATTGATTTTACTGATTCACAAAAATTCACAGAACTTGAGCTCTGGCCAGTAAAAATTGGGAAAGGCTGCTTCCATGAAATCATACGATCATACATGCAGTTTTTTTTTTTTTTTTGAAAACTAAAAAAAAAACAAGAGAAGTTTGTATTATAATAAACTATTTATTGACAATAAATGTTTGAAATAGTATATTACTGAAATCTTAAATTTGTATTTTAAACAAATTAAAATTTTTTAAATAAGTTGTTTTAATATTTGTGCAAGTGCTATAAAGCGCATTACACAGTAAAGAGAAATGCAAATATAAGGCGCAAACTAACTCACCACAGTTTCAGGTACTGCAATAAAAATCCGCAAGTGTCAGTTTGTGCTCAAAAATGGCAATTTATTGGTGTCAAATGTTGCATATATCAAATATCCTAAGATATCAAATGTTTGCACTTAAAATTTATATGTTCACATTATAATTAATCATTTGGATGATTGCTTAATATTGAAATTTATAAATAAAATTTTATTATAATTTTTTTCTTCTAAATTTTATACATTTAGCTAGAATTGTGTTAGAAGAGTCGGGCAATACCGCAATTAACTTTCTAAAAAAGTCAAATATTTTGATTTATATATTATCTTTTTAACCGAAGAAAAACTTTAACAATAATTTCATAATTAAAAAAACTTTTTTTGATTTTTATTGGGAACTATAAATGTTACATATGTAAGAAAATCAAATTTTCTTACAAGATATTTTTGGATAATTGGACCACGTTAACTTATTCAGAATGTTTTAAGAAAAAGTGATATAAGGAACGAAAAAAGAGTTTTAGGATCAATTGTTGTATTCACATTTTTGTTTTGCATATATGTATGCAAATGAAGAAAAATAATGATTTAGTTGAATTAAAGAAATATTTTCTCAATATTTTATATATTTTATATAATTTCAAAAAGTTTTATTTTATTTTATTCAAAAATAAATTAAATTTTATTAATAAGTATAAAATAATTTATAATTACTTGCTTTTTATTGTTTTCATATATATATTCATATATAAAGTATATTTCATATATAAAGTTTTATTTTACATTTGCACGCACATTTTAATGTGATTATTTAATAATTTAAAAAATTGGTTTAATTTTATTTATTTAAGAAATTAAGAATTAGTTAAAAGTTTAACATTAATAAAGTTTATGCCAGCAAATAATATAAATATTTTATTTTAAAATTAGTGAAATAAGTTTATAATTAAATTTTAAATTAATTTATTTGATGAGATTATAAATAAATTTTAGCTTTATTAAAAATAAATTGAAGCAAATTAGGTTAGATACTCTATTTTTCAAAATGTAATGCAGAAACATTTAGGTCGTAATACTTATATTTTTAAAATTTAATATATTTGGTAGTATTTTAATCAATTCAAAAGAGCTTGTCCTGTAATTGATAATTCTAATTGTTCTGATAATCCACGTTGGATCTTACTTAAATTTGTAATAGTATATATATAAATATGTAACGGCAAATTATTAAATAATTAATTACTATATAATTATAACTTATTAATTAATTATTGATCATTTATTTTTAAATAATTATTAATCATTAATCTCAATATTGATATAGAACTTTTTGTGGTCTTACTAATATATTACTAATATCTATTTTAAAATCACCATAAAACGTAACAAATAACGTGCTGTATAACATAGTATATCAATATATACTCTGCTAAAAATAAAACTGTTTTATACAGACGCAATTATTTATTTCTTGTACAATATGTATTCAAAAATTATTATCAGCATTTTTATTTGTTTACGTGAATTGAAATTATTTTGAGTAAAACAATTAAAAATTTTTAAGCAAAGCTTGCAAATAATTTATGCATTTGGTGCATCCCGTACCCTTGAAACTCACCACAGTTCGCGGCTGATGTAAACATTGACATTCACAGTGCAGTGACAACGCACGTTTCAACTTAACTTTTGCTACAAAGCGCCCATAAAAACTTGATATTAGTTTGGTATATATGAAAATATGTTAAATATTTAAAAGCGTTACAATGTGTATTTTTGTGCGTATATCGACAATAGCATTGTTTATTCTAATGTTAATACACCGTGTTGTTGCACTTGAATTTGATCAATATAAATTATGAGGCTGATACTCGTAATAAATTTTGAACAGTCAGATACGTACATTCGTACGCATTCATGCATTAAATGCATGAGTTTTAAATAATTTGGTTAGCCGAAGGTCAAATGTCACCTTAGGTTTGGTATCATAAGTAACTAACATAAAAAATAATTCTTATTAAACAATTGGTCATATTTCGATATGGATCACATCGTATTGGTATTTACGAAATACGTATGTACATATAAGTAAATACAACGTTGTGTTTGCATTTTGTTTATTATTCTAATAGGAACTAAGCTGCACATATGATTTTGGTAAAGTGAATTGTTTGTGGTGAATATAATTTATTTGTAATTTAAATCTGCTACGACAGTAAGCAGAAAATGTTTTCAAACACTTTTCATTGAATTTTGGAAATTATACAAATAGTATGAATGTAATATAGTTTTTGCCAAGCAGATGTATATTTTATATTCTTGTTAAAATATAAATTTAATTATATTTGTCAATTGAAAATGGCTTGTGTTTTGTTTTGGTTATTGCAGTTAGTGGGAGGCAAAAGTATTTAGCGGAATTTTTATTGATAATATGAAGTGGAAATAGATAAAGACTTAATTTTTTTGTATCATATAAGAAATGTTTTACTTTATAAATGATTTTGTTGCTCTTTTTCAGATATCGACGAATGCCAAGATGCATCAATAGCCGCACGGTGCGTTCAAAATGCCGAATGCTGTAATTTGCCCGCACATTTCTTATGTAAATGTAAGGACGGTTACGAAGGCGATGGTGAAGTTCTTTGCACAGGTACACTTGATTTTTCATACTTCTAATAAATATTATTCAATGTATTTCTAAAATTGTTCTCTTTACTTATTTGTTTTATTAGATATCGACGAATGTCTGAACCCGACTGCTTGTGGGGCAAACGCTCTGTGTATTAATACTCCTGGTAACTACACATGTGAGTGTCCAGAAGGTTTTTATGGCAGTCCTTATGATGGCTGTCAGGATATTGATGAATGCACGCATCCAAATGTATGCGGTCCTGGTGCCATATGTACGAACCTTGAGGGTGGTTATCGCTGCGACTGCCCGCCAGGTTATGAAGGAGATGGACGCTCAGAAAGTGGTTGCTTGGATTACGATGAATGTGCTCGTTCGCCTTGCGGACGTAATGCCGAGTGTCAAAATACAGATGGTAGTTTTAAGTGTTTATGTCCAGATGGTTATTCTGGCGATCCCGGTCAGGGCTGTGAAGGTAAGTTTTATTGTCATTATGATATTACTTTGATTTTATAATTTAACATGATTTTATAAAATTATTTTTTATATACAAATATAATATTCATTACAATGCACACATCTTGGGATACACTTATTAAACAAAATATTGGCGCTACGCATACATTTGCACACACACCAAAATAATGAAATCAAATCATTAAAAAAAAACATTAAAATTAATTATTAATTGCGCAAATAATCATAACGAAACTTTTATATCATTAATATTCCACAAAAATAAATAAAAACCGCGCTTACACCTAAAAACGTTAAAAAAGACGTCGATGAATGCGCTACTAACAATCCATGTGGCTTGGGTGCTGAATGCGTGAATATGGGCGGTAGTTTCATATGTCGTTGTCCATTGGGTTTCATGCTTGAACATGAAACGACAAATGCTTATGGCTACAGCGATACCAGTAATACCGCTTTATCAACAAATGGTGCCGGTCTTGCATGTATCGATATTGATGAATGTAATTTGCCAAATGGATTGGCTAAATGTGGTACAAACGCGAAATGCATAAATTTTCCAGGCTCATATCGTTGCTTATGTCCAAGCGGCTTTCAAGGACAGGGTTATTTACATTGCGAAAGTTAGTAATTAGTATAAGCGCATTATATCTACAATACATAAGCTATATGAGAAGCTTGCAAGCATTTAAATATATTTTTGTTTTTAAAATTACGAATACTCCTATACATAAATTATGTTATGCTCTATAATATATAGAAATTGTTTTGTGTTAAAAAACTATTTGTAAAATTAATATTGAACTTTTGTAATTGCTTGCAAGCTTTATGCTTCTATTTTTTCAGTTATTTTAAAGATTTACTTCAAATATTTTCCATTTTTTTAAACTTTATTTTCTATGCTCTGCTTCAGTTAAGAATTTAAATATATTCTATACTCGTATTAGCTTTATCACTTTTAAAATCTATTTTTCAAAAACTTTTTACACAAGTTTTTTGAAGTGCTTTTCTACTGCCTTCTTCACGCTATTCTTACTTCCTTAACCTAAGCATGTTTATTTAATTATTTTTATTTTTTAACACAATTCCCAACACTTCTCATCACAACACTCGACTTGCTTACTACGATGTCCGGTTTTATTACTCAAGATATCAACGAATGTCAGGATAATCCTTGCGGTGAGAATGCAATTTGCACCGACACAATTGGAAGTTTTGTTTGTACCTGTAAAGCAGATTACACCGGTGACCCTTTCCGCGGTTGTACTGATATTGATGAGTGCACTGCTCTTGAAAAACCCTGTGGATCTCATGCTATATGTGAAAACACCTCTCCAGGATATAATTGCAAATGCCCACAAGGGTTTGATGGTAAACCAGATCCAAAAGTTGCTTGTGAACAGGTTGACGTGAACATACTATGCCGTACTAATTTCGACTGCACAAATAATGCTGAATGTATCGAAAATCAATGCTTCTGTTTAGACGGTTTCGAGCCAATAGGCTCGAGCTGTGTTGATATCGATGAGTGTCGCACACATGTCGATGTTTGTGGTGTACATGCGCAATGTATTAATACACCAGGTTCTTATCGTTGTGATTGTGAAGCCGGATATGTAGGCACACCTCCGCGAATTGCTTGCAAAGAACCATGCGAGGATGTGCACTGTGGTGAGCATGCGTATTGCAAACCTGACGGTAATGAAGCTTATTGCATATGTGAAGATGGCTGGACTTTCAATCCATTTGATGTTGGTGCTGGCTGTGTAGATATAAATGAATGTGATCAAGCACATGGACCTTTTGGTAGCTGTGGAATAAATGCTACGTGCACGAATACGCCAGGTGGTTTTAATTGTGAATGTCCGACAGGTTTTACAGGCGATCCTCATTCAAGATGTATAGCCGTTGATGAATGCCGAGATGGCAATAAATGTGGTGAAGGTGCGGAATGCGTTAATATGAACGGCGGTTATACGTGTCGTTGCCCAACAGACTCAATACCTGATCCCGATCCTACAGTACGTTGCGTACCTGTTGTTATTTGTTCAACTGATAATGATTGTCCTGGAAACGCTATTTGCGATGGTACGAAGCGTTGTTTATGTCCTGAGCCTAATATGGGCAATGAATGTCGTCATCCGTGTGAAACAAAAAGTTGTGGAACACACGCACAGTGTCTGATTGCAAATGGTAAAGCTCAATGTCTTTGCGCTGAAGGCTTTACAGGAACTCCAAATACACCTGGTGGTTGCTCTGATATTGATGAATGTAAAGCAACTCCATGTCAAGCTAATGCTATATGTACAAACACTCCTGGTAGCTATTTATGTCAGTGCCCTAGTGGATCCAATGGAGATCCTTATCGAGAAGGCTGCGTTTCTGCTAAAGTTCCATTTAGTTGTTCTGATGCTAATCCATGTGCCGCAGGTGAAAGCTGTGTTACAAATTCTTATACTGGCAATAGTGTTTGTATTTGTCGACAGGGTTACGAGCGTAATTCGGAGACTGGTGAATGTCAAGATATTGATGAGTGTTCTGAAAATAGGCAAAAACCTGCTTGTGGTGTCAATGCTTTATGTAAAAACTTGCCTGGAAGCTACGAATGTCGGTGTACACAAGGTTTTAATGGAAATCCATTTGTTTTATGTGAGCAGTGTAATTCGCCAGAATGTCAATGTCAACCACCTTATAAACTAGTCGGAAATAGTTGTATTTTAGCTGGATGTTCACAAGGTGAAAAATGTCCGTCAGGAGCAGAATGTATTTCAATCGCAGGTGGCGTTAGTTATTGTGCTTGTCCTAAAGGCTATAAAACACAATCAGATGGTTCATGTATTGATGTAGATGAATGCGCTGAACGTGGTTCACAAGTTTGTGCATACGGTGCTGAATGCATTAATACAAAAGGAAGTTTCACATGTGTGTGTCCAGAAAGCTACAGTGGCGATCCGTATAATGGATTATGTGCACCTGCTCAACGCAAATGTGCTGCTGATAAGGAATGTAACACTAATGAAAAATGTGTACAACCTGGTGAATGTGTTTGCCCACCTCCATTTTTCTTTGATCCTTACGATAATAATAAATGCAAAAATCCTTGCGAACGTTTCCCTTGCGGTATAAATGCTAAGTGTACGCCAACTGATCCGCCACAATGCATGTGTGAGGTTGGATTTAAGGGGGATCCTTTATTGGGTTGTACAGATGAGGATGAATGTGCACATTTACCCTGCGCTTATGGAGCTCATTGTATCAACAAAAAAGGAGGATATCAATGTGTTTGTCGAAAAGGCTTTACAGGAGATCCTTACATAAGCGGTTGCATATTGGAAGCAGGAGTTACAAAAAGTAAATGCATTAGTAACGATGACTGTGCAAGTAACTTAGCTTGTGTAGAAGGCACATGTGTAAGTCCTTGTTCCAGTTTACTTTGTGGATCAAACGCTTTTTGCGAAACTGAAGATCACGCAGGCTGGTGTCGTTGCCGTGTTGGGTTTGTCAAAGATTTGAATGGCGACTGTGTATCACAATGTAAGGATGTTATTTGTGGAGAAGGTGCATTGTGTATACCCACATCTGATGGTCCAACATGTAAATGTCCTCAAGGTTCTTTAGGAAATCCGTTTCCGGGCGGAAGTTGTTCTACAGATCAATGTACTGCTTCCAGACCATGTAACTATCGTCAAATATGCATAAATGGTAGATGTAAGGAAAGATGTGATGGTGTAGTTTGTGGTGTTGGAGCTACTTGTGATGCAATTAGTGGAAAATGCATATGTGAACCTAATTTTATTGGTAATCCTGATCTTGTTTGTATGCCGCCAATTAAATATGCAGTGTGTGATCCTCCCTGTGGGGAAAATGCCCACTGTGAATACGGATTTAATAAAAATATTTGTTCTTGTAATCCTGGCACATCTGGAAATCCTTATGAAGGCTGTGGAGCTCAAAGTAAGAATATATGTTCACCAAATAGTTGTGGTCCAAACGCTGAATGTCGCGCAAATATAAACGGTATAAGTTGCATTTGTCCACAAGGCTTTTCTGGAAATGCGTATGTTGGTTGTCAAGACATTGATGAATGTCTAAATAAACCCTGTGGACTTAATGCAGTTTGTTTGAATACTCATGGCGGCTTCGAATGTCTTTGTTTGTCCGGTTTTGCTGGTGATCCATTTAGTAGCTGCCAACCTGTCGATACTGTGTTCTGTGATAATCCTGATAAATGTCAATGCAATGAACGCGTTGAATGTCCTGATGGATATACATGTGATTCTGGTAAATGTAAAAATTTGTGCTCTACAACAGCATGTGGACCAAGAGCAGTATGCGATGGTGGAAAATGTTTGTGTTCATTGGGTTATATTGGTGATCCATATGATTCTAATAATGGGTGCAGTATTCGAGGTCAATGCAATAATGATGCAGATTGCAAACATTCTGAAATTTGTTTCCAATTCAGTAAAGGATTAAGAAAATGTGTAGATGCATGCTCAAAAATCCAATGTGGACCAAATGCCTTATGTGTCTCAGATGATCACCGATCATCATGTATTTGTGCTGATGGCTATTTCGGTAATCCTAGCAATTTACAAGTTGGTTGCCATCCTGAACGAACGATTCCTGATAACGACGACAAATGTAAAAATGACGATGATTGCGATTCTGGATATACTTGCTCAGCTGATTTGCATGGCAAAAAAGCCTGTGTCAATCGCTGTTCGAAGGTTGTTTGTGGTACAAATGAAATATGTAAGATTGATAGTAATGGTCATGCTATATGTAATTGTGCAGATAGTTTTGTCTGGAATCCTTTTATTTCTGCTTGTGAAAAGCCTTCTTTACCGGATTGCACTAGTGATCAAAATTGTCCATCCACCTCAGCTTGTCGACCGGATGTTGTTGGTGTACTGAAATGTGTTTCAATTTGCGACGAATTTACATGTCCAGCTAATTCAATTTGTGTTGCACGTAATCACCAAGGTCGTTGTGATTGTTTACCAGGATTTGTTGGTAATCCAAATGATCGAAATGGTTGTCAATTGGTTCCTAAGAATCAATGTCGTTCTAATGCTGAATGTGCGGAATCGGAAGCTTGCATTAAACACGGATCCAGTGAAAATCTTTCATGTAGACCTGCTTGTGAAAGTATCAAATGTGGACCTCGTGCTGTTTGTATAACCAATAATCATTTGGCTCAATGCCAATGTCCCCCAGGAGCATTTGCAGGGGACCCATATGATCCTTTCAATGGTTGTCAAAATGTTCCTTGTGTTTATAACAACGATTGTCCAACAACAAAGTTATGTAACCGTCTGACACATACATGCTTTGATGTATGCGATGACGAATCTTGTGGGGAAAATGCCATTTGTTTAGCAGAAGATCATCGTGCAGTATGCCAATGTCCACCAGGTTTTAAAGGAAACCCAATTGCAGAAGTAGAATGTGTAAAAATTGGAGGTTGCGCTGCAAATACTTGTCATCATTCTGCTGTTTGTGAAGTCACACCACAAGGACCAATTTGCAAATGTCCAGAGAATTTCGATGGTGATCCTACTACCACAGGTTGTCGACCAGAAGGTCAATGTCCAAATGGAGATGCAGACTGTCCAGCAAATACAATTTGTGCTGGTGGACGTTGTATTAATCCATGTGAAAACGCTTGTGGGGATAATGCTGAATGCAAAGTAATCAACCGAAAACCAGTTTGCAGCTGTCCACTGAAATTCCAACCAATTAGTGAAACCGCTAAAAGTGGCTGCACACGTTCTGTATCTAAATGTACTTCTGATATTGATTGTGGAGGAGAAGTGTGCTATAACGGACAATGTCGCATTGCGTGTAGAAATTCCGAAGATTGTTCCGTAGGAGAAAAATGTTTACAAAATGTCTGCGTTATATCGTGTCTAGATCATAGTCAATGTGCTTCAGGATTAGCTTGTTTGGAAGGCTTTTGTTCTATTGGTTGTCGTAGTAATAAAGACTGTGGGCACGATCAATCGTGTATAAATAGTAAATGCACAAACCCATGTCAAAATAGCGGAATATGCGGTCCAAATGCTTTGTGCAATATTGATAATCATCGCAGTCACTGTACATGTCCTGTAGGATTTGAAGGAAATCCCACACCAGATCAAGGTTGCGTACGTGTTCCAGCGCCTTGCTTGGCTTCAAATCAATGTCCCACTAGTCATATGTGTATTGGAAACCAATGTAATTTACCATGTCAAAAGACATCTACTTGCGCTATTGGCGAACGTTGTTATCAAAATGTATGTCGCAAAGTGTGTTATACTAGTAACAACTGCTTACCTGGAGAAATATGCAATAACGATGGTACTTGTCATCCAGGCTGCGAGTCTGATGCCGACTGTCCACCCACCGAACTCTGTTTGAACGGTAAATGTAAATGTGCAATTGGTTTTATTGGAACACCTTTTGGTTGTTCTGATATTGATGAATGCACCGAAAATCCTTGCCATAAAACAGCACATTGCGAAAATTTACCCGGATCATTCCGCTGTATTTGTCCTGACGGAACAGTTGGTGACGGTTATTCGAAACAGGGTTGCACAAAACCAAAGGAGTGTTATAAAAATGATGATTGCACCACCAGCCTTGCATGTATAAACGATAAGTGTACAGATCCATGCTTGAGTTTAACATGTGGTCCGAACGCAGTTTGTCAGTCAGATTATCACGCAGCTAGCTGTATTTGTCCAGCGGGATATTTAGGTGATCCTAGCGATTCGCAGGTAGGATGTTTTAAAGTAGAATGTATAGCTGATGACGATTGTGCTAATGAGAAAACGTGCGACAGTGAAACCAATCGTTGCATGAAACCATGCGATTTCATTAACTGTGGTAAAGGAATATGTAGTGTTACTGACCATAAAGCAGTTTGCACATGTTATGATGGATATCATTTGCTCAAAAATGTATGCGAGGATATTGATGAATGTTCATCGACACCTTGTCACAGTACCGCGATTTGTAATAATTTACCTGGTAGTTTTAATTGTCAATGCCCTGAAGGACTTATAGGCGATGCAGTTCATGCTGGTTGTCGCGATCCTAACGAATGTCTTACAGATTCAGATTGTCCGTCTTCAGCAAGTTGTCAAAACTCACGTTGTAGAAGTCCATGCGATCGAGATAATGTTTGTGGTCTTAACGCAAACTGTCTCGCACAGTCCCATAACGCAATATGCACTTGCCCAACTAATTCTCGAGGTGATCCATCGGTTGAGTGTGTGCACGTTGAGTGTTCCGATAATGATGACTGCGCAAACGAAAAAGCTTGCCTCGAATCTAAATGTGTTGATCCTTGTTCATTGCCAAATGCATGTGGTACTCAAGCACATTGCACTGTACAAAACCATATCGGCATATGTTCTTGCGAAACAGGAACAACTGGTAATGCACAGCTTGGCTGTGTGCCTCTTCAGTATTGTAATACAGATAGCCAGTGCGCCTCTGGAACGATATGTTCAAATGGTATCTGCTGCTCCTTATGTAGTTCGAACCGTGATTGTATATCTGATCAACTTTGCATACAGGGTGTTTGCCAACCAACTTGTAAAACAAACTCTTCATGTCCGGAATTCCAATACTGTCAAAATAATATATGCACTAAAGAAGTATTATGTCGTGAGGATAACGATTGTGATATTAATGAAAGTTGTATATTGGATGCCTATGGACGTGCAAGTTGTGAAAACGTTTGCTTAGGACGTGCAATTTGTGGTCGTAACGCCGAGTGCATTGCTCGAAGCCATGCACCTGATTGTGAATGCAAAGAAGGATTTTTCGGCGATCCCAACACAGGTTGTCGCAAAATTGAGTGTAACTCTGATAATGACTGTTCAAACGACAAAACTTGCGATAATCATATGTGTAAAATTGCGTGTCTCATAGGCCAACCATGCGGAGAGAATGCGCTATGTACAACAGAAAACCATAAACAAGTATGTCATTGTCAACCTGGTTTCACTGGTGATCCAACAGTACGTTGCGAAGTTGTTGATTTTTGCAAAGATGCTCCTTGTGGTCCCGGTGCACGTTGTCGTAATTCACGTGGCACATTTAAATGTACTTGTCCACCTGGGTTGGTCGGAGATCCCTATAATGAAGGATGCCGAACATCTGTTGAGTGTGAAACTAATGAAGATTGCCCACCGCATGCGGAATGTTCTAAAACTAATGGAGTAGCAAAGTGTCACGATGTCTGCGCAAATGTTAAATGTGGTCCTAATGCGGAATGTGTTCCGAAAGGCCATGTTGCACAGTGTGCATGTCGTGGTGGCTATGATGGTAATCCCGCTGACCGGGTTACTGGATGCAAGCCATTACCAGTACCATGCCACGTCACCAGCGATTGCCCGACAAACACTTACTGTTCCGATAGCATATGTAAACGTAAGTACTAACACAAAAGGTTTTTCTAATATTGTAAATGGTATCTAAATATATGACACAAACCAAACGAATAACCGTAATCAAACTCATACAATAGTACACCACTACCAACTACAAATTATCAATTATTAATTATATATTTTAATATAATACTGGGAGCAGAGTGCTCACAGCTTTTCGGCTAATTTAGAGTAGAAATCTTGCGATACGTTATCGTATTTTTTTTTTTTTGATTATAATCGGCCCTTTTAATTTTCTGGTTGAGAATAAACACAAAGGCCCAATATGGGTGCAGGTGGCAATTAAACAAAGTAATTGAAATATTAAAAGTTGAACAATATATCAAACTACAAAATATTTACGTTTCTTGGTGACGACAATGACTGTGACTATACTTACTCCAACAGAACTGCGCCGGAACATAATGTTTATATAAAAAAATATGTCCCAATAATTAATTTCAAATATTTTCAGCTGCGTGCGTATTAGATACTGAATGTAGCAGTACCGAAGTATGCCAAGGAGGACAATGCATTAATCCTTGTCTGCTACAACAAGCCTGCGGTATGAACGCAAGGTGTGATATACAATCCCATTTAAAACAGTGCAGTTGTCCCGCTGGATTTACTGGAAATGCTGATGTGGAATGTGTTCGTATACCAGTTGCTTGTTCCAGTGACGTGCACTGTGATACCGGGTATACTTGCCGGGATTCCATGTGTCTACCAGCATGCATACATGATCAAGATTGTGCGTTAAATGAGAAATGCCTGCATGGTAATTGCATGTGTAAGTTCTTAGTTTATGTAACGGAAATGTTGAAAAGAAATTTCAGAAACTATATAACATACATACATATATGAATATATAAATGTGTTTAAAATGCTATGAAATGTCGACTATATATATTTTTTTATACATTTAACTTTTTATAGTGACATGCCGTGTAGACAACGATTGCTTTTTGGGCCATATTTGCTTGCACAATAAATGTGTTTTCGGTTGCCATACCGATGATGACTGTAGTGCTTCAGAATCATGTCGTAACGATAAATGTATAAACCCATGTGTAGAGAATCCCTGTGGTCCAAATGCAGTGTGCTCAGTTTCAAATCACAGAGCTGTTTGTAATTGCCAGGATGGTATGGTGCCCAATCCCACACCTCAAGTGGGATGCGTACGTACACCAGCATTGGAATGTTATCAGAATCGTGACTGCCCGAACGGTTTGGCTTGTTATGAATCATCTTGTCGACCTTTATGTGCCGATGATAATGGTTGTCTATCTAATGAACGCTGTCAAAATGGTGTTTGCAAGCCTCTTTGTCGTCGGGATGACGATTGCCGTAACAATGAAGTTTGTTTGGAACTAACCTGTGTATCAGGCTGTCGTTCAGATCAGGGATGTCCTGGAAACTTGGCTTGTGTTGGTCAGCAATGTGTAGATATTTGTAATGATCCTACTGCATGCGGTACAAACGCATTTTGTACTACGGTGAATCATCACAAAGAATGTACTTGTCGAGAAGGTCTTGTTGGAAATCCGGAAGTTGCTTGTAAGCCACCATTTAGTGCTTGTGTACATAACGAAGATTGTAAAACTAATCAACTTTGTTATGGCGGCAGTTGTCAAGGCAAATGTCGCAATGATCAAAACTGTCTCGCGGATGAACGCTGTTTGCGCGGCACGTGTCGCACTGTGTGTAATACTGATTCGGCTTGTGCTGATGGTCAAATTTGTGAAAATCGTGTATGTCAAGTAGGCTGTCGCAGTGACTTAACTTGTCCCAATGAACAGGCCTGCATGAATAAGAAATGCAAGAATCCATGTGAAACGGCCGGCCAGTGTGGTCAATGCGCTAATTGTATTGTTGTTAATCATGGTGTGCAATGCAGTTGCCCAAATGGATTTATGGGTGATGGTCTTACAGGATGTCAATTACCACCACAACGTTGTAATCCATCTTGCCAGTGCGACGAAACGAAAACATATTGTGCAGATGCATGCACTCGTTCCGAAGATTGTGCATGCGGTCAACTCTGCTCTCGCGGCAAATGCCGTGCACAATGTGGTCCTAGTAAATCATGTCCATTAGGACAATTATGTGAACGTGGTTCCTGTATAGCTGGTTGTAAGTCAAACTCTGATTGCGCAACTGATAATGTTTGTTTAAAAGGTCAATGCACGGATCCTTGCAACGACAAGAAATCATGCGGAAGAAATGCACTATGCACTGTTTCCGATCACCGTATGCTATGCTACTGTCCTGATGGTTATGAAGGTGAGCCAAGCAAAGAATGCATACAATTTGAATGTCATCAAGATGAGGAATGTGAATCAAACAAACGTTGTGATAACGGCAAATGTCGTAACCCTTGTCTAGAGTATGGATCTTGTGGCGTTAATGCACAATGTCGTGTAGTAAATCGCAAACCACAGTGCTCATGTCCGCCAGATTTCCTAGGCAATCCAGCCGTCGAATGTCAACCCGCAGATGGTGGTTGTGCAAACAGTCCATGTGGTGCTAACTCCAAATGTACAGAAGTACCTGGAGGATATGAATGCTCATGTATGGATGGCTGCATGGGTGACGCTCACAAAGGATGTGTCTGTGAAGGACACCTAGTAAATGCCTGTTACGATCAACCATGTGGAGTCAACGCTGCTTGTCGAGTTTTAGAACAAAATGAAGCACAATGTTACTGCCCAGAAGATTTTCCATACGGTGATGCTTATGTACAATGTAAGTTATACAAAATATAATAAATTAATTATGATCATAATTCTTAATTTGAAATACAAAATAGGTTATCTAAATCCACCACAGCATGATTGTCGCACTTACGGTTGTGAAGTTGGTGAATGTGTTCGTCAAGGTTTTGATTATATCTGTAGGCAAGGTAAGTTCATAGCATTAACTTTCTATGATATCAGTAAAATTATTATTTTCTTAACAAAAACAACCACAAAATTTAGAAAGTTTAGTTTTTTAAGTTGCAGACCTTTTAGTTTAGCTAATTTTATAGTAAACATTATTCCAATAGTTTTTTTTAATAAAAAATAAATATTTAAATAATATTTCGTAAGTAACAAAATTTTAAATATTTGATTTAAAACAAATATTTATTTCTAATTATAACCCAAACTATTCCAAAGGAACAAGTGTTTACTTATAGTTTAACATTATTCGTATTGCATTTGATTCAAGCAATATAATATTATTAAAATAATTAAATTTTTTTAATAGTTAAAGGAATATTGATTAGCATTTTGTTGATTTAACAAGACTAAAGAAATTTACAAAAATTTATTAATAATTAATTTAATTTTATCTAAAATATAATGTGTAGTGTGGTGTGTATTATTCAATACACATATCGTTGTTAGAACTTTGAAAATTTTACTTAATTTAATATTTGTTTTCTAATAACTAATAAGCAAATTTTTATTGTTTTCTATTTTTTTTGTATCTAAAAAAATTATTTAAATCATTAACAGAAGAAAAATTTTAAAGTTTTAATGCAACAAAACCCACCTCTAAAAAGTAAAACACACACACAATAGATCTAAACTATAGGCGCTCATAGTTTGTTATAAAAATTGTTTTACATTAAATTTAATTAGTTAGCAAGTATAAATTACTTTTTACACAAAAAACAACAATAAATAAGAAAATATTATGCACATCATCACATGAACTAGACATATTCTTACTTAACGTTGAGATGGAAAAAACCCCAAACTCTAATAAATGAGAAAAATCTTCAAGACATTAAACTCGATTCGTCTGTAGACAAAGACATAGCAGCTCTGATTGATTGTATTTCCCCTCTAACGTGATTAGTGATTACTCGGAGCATATTGAAATATTGACTAGCACAGTTAATACTACTCCTGTTAATACTACCCCTGTTAATACTACAGTCAAAACATGAACTACATGTTTGGTGTAGCCTTAAATGCTTTTCGTTTTATTCCTATTTAATGTAAGGCATACGTTTCTAGTGACCTCATAGTCTTCGCGGTAAGTCCACAATGTATTTGTCAGCATAATGGTCCATTCTTCTGAGAGCCTCTTCTGAATATCTCATCTACTACTTGTTCCTTTTAATATTACTATATCCAAAAAATTGATAAAAAGAGAGTTCATGATATTTGATATTCATCCATGAGGCACAACATCTCATCACAAACCATTATTTCACTGTTCAATTGTTACCATAGCTGCTTGACTGTCTACAAAGTTAGTGTCATTCGAAGAGTACTGAAGTCATGACAACAATATTTATAATAGCTAATAGTAACTATGTATATGTAACTGTTTTTTATGAGTTTGTTTTAAAATTAATATTTTAATACTAATAGATGTTTAAGCATAATATGCTTAAAATTTTCTACAATTTTCCAAAAATTGTATATAAACTTATAAATTAAAAAATATTTCCAAAGATCACTGATGATGAATATTTGGCAATATTTGAAACAGCTGTGTATGTTCAGTCAAAAAAAAAAATTCATTTAATAAAATAATAAAATTTTTGTTGTTATATTTCATTACTCTTAAGAGATATGAGCTCTTTCTTTTTTTTACAATTACTTATCAAATGTGTGGTATTCATAATATTTTTTTATTTAAAATAAGTTTAGTTGAATAAGATTCTTAAAGTTGATATTTCGAAAGTTTTGAATTTCATTTCGTAGTATTTCAAAAAATATAATAATTTATTAGCGGGCTAATTGGTCAATTTAAATAGAAATAAAAACACTATAATTTATTATTTATATTTAAAAAGAGTTTATCTTTAGTTTCCCTGAAGATGACTATCGAAGATAGTCGAAATATTGGAAAAAATTTTAATAATATCTGAACTGTTTTTAAATGTAAATAATAAATTATAGTCTTCTTATTTCTAATTAAATTGACCAATTAGTATATACAAATTTTATATTTAAATTTTTATTTAACTAATTTTTTGAGTATTAATTATGATCATTTTTGTAGCGAATACGAGCGTCTACAGGTCTTAATTTAACTATCCTTAAGTAATTAAATTTAAATTAAATACTTTTCGCACAAATTTTATTGAATTAGTTTGTAGTTGTTTATAAATATATAATATTTAATATTTTTTAATTATTAACTTTTTTATTTTGACACTTTTTTTATACATCTACATTAAAAGTAATTGTATGAAAATACAAAAAAAAAAAAAAAAAGACACATTTTAATATTTAAAAGATCGCATATGGAAATTCGTGGAATGTCGCTGTCGCTATCGCGGTTTCCCAATCTGTGCTTATGTTTGATAAATTTATAAAAACATTAATTAAGTCATTTTATCGAATCAATCAATTTCTTTATAACTGCTCACCAACAACCAAACCACACTAAAAACAATTCGAAACTTAAATCCAATTAAAAATGTATAATCCTTCATATCCTCTTAACAAATAACTCAAATAAAAAAATTAGTACATCATCCTTAGAAAATATTCACCGTTAAATTATTTATGCATTACTGAATCGACGCCTATTATTAACAAAACCAAATAAACTTAAAAACTCGAAACTAATTATTTATATCATATATACTCGTATATTTTTTGATTTAATTAATTATTAATAAATATATACTCAAATAATGATTTTCATTATTCCAGTGAAGTGCATTTAGTTACATTTTATGATTTATGCGCCGCTTTGAAAAATAACAACTTTGAGCTAAATAAAGCTTTTATTTTAATAATAAAATTCAGTTAAAATTATTCATAATTTAATTATTCACAAAATTGCTCTTAAACTTGGTCATATAACATCAAATATTGAGCGTTTTGCATTCAGCTATTCAGCAATTCAGCAATTAAAATTATATTCCAATTGTACTTTTAAAATTTTTTCTTTAATATAATAAAAAAAACAAAAAAAATTTAAAAATATATTTGTGGGAAATATAATTTAAACAAAAATTATATTTTTATTATTTATTAAATAAAATTAAATCTCAAAAAAGAATTTTTTTTAAGTTATTACCACTTCAGGTCCTTCAGTCTTAAGTAAATAAGTTTCAATATTGATAAAAATAATTCTTTTAATAAAGAATTTAATAAAGAATTCAGTGCAACAGATTAAGTTATTTAATATGCTATTTTATACCAAAAAAAATTTTATATAAATATATGATAGTTTCAATTATATTTTCTAAAAAATATAAACATATTCGTAAGCACGACTTTAGAACTTCAGTTTAAAGGAATGCTTAAAACAATGAATTTAACTAAATTTTAAATAATATTACTAAATATTTCATTTTATTATCTATAAAGTATATAACACACAGTTTATATATTTTTTTTAATGCTTATAATAAGTTAAATAAAAATAATTTTTTGAAATTATGTTAGCTATTTGTATTAAGTTTAAATGTAATAATAATATTAATAATTAAACATTTATTATTTTTATAAATATTATATATATAATATTATATTATATTATATTTATATTATTTATAAAATAATTTAATGTCAAAACAAAGTTATATATTTTCCTATAGAGTACATTTCATAGTGCAGAAAAAAAATTAATTTTATTAAATAATTATAAACGTATGATATTTGTATGAATAGGTTTTAATACATATATAATTTCTGTAAAATAATTATTTAGTTGAAATGGTAAGATAATAGAGACCCATTAATTATACCATAGTTAAATTCATATGTCCAATGAATATATAGTTCCTTACAAAACTAGAGATATTAATCAGTAGTGTTATAAATAGTCTTTAATAAACAATATATATATAATTAAAAATGCAGAAAGTATTCACAACAACACGTTTTAACTATTTATAACGTAAATTGTCAACGTGATTTTAAGTGTTTTCTCTACAAATTGCGCCAGCTAATAATTAAGTTTAGTTAAATAAATTTCCAAAAAAAAAAAAAAAAAAAAAAAAAAAATAAAATAAAATAAAATGCTACATACTGCACAGATGTAAGAGAAAGATGTACCAAAATTTTTCAAAATTGTCCAAAATCCAAAACCCTCCAAACAACCAATACCTGTTACCCATATTTTCAAAAGTATAAATGTGGCCTTTGATTAATTTGTTTACACGAATTTTAATATAAAAAAAAAATAAACAAAGAACAAAAATAAAACGATATATAATTTAAATATTGCAAATAATATAATATATATATTATTTTTATTATATGTAATGTTAATTAATAAAATTAAAAATACAAAAATACCGCGATAGCGATACGTATCCTGAATTGAATTATTATAGCATAAACAACACATACAAACATTGGTCACAAGAATAAGTAAAAAACGAATTCTATTTAAAATACTATAATTAAAACTATAATTCAAAAATATAATATAAACTAAACACTAATGCTACCTATTCAGAATCCTATTCAATCCTTCCCTTTTTAGTCAGAAAAAAAATCTTCCTTTTGTTTGTGTATTCCTAAAATTATACTCTTATTGTTACTGTTTGAAATGAAACAAAAAGAAAAAAAATAATAATAATAATAACTATAATTTAGAGGTATACAAATTAAGTTAAGATTAAATTTTTATAGTATGAATAATAATATATAAGAAACAAAGTCTCAGATTGGGAACTGTGGACGGAACAATTCTCACACATAGTTCACATATGCCAAAGATTTTACAAAATAACAACAAAAACCAAAGAAATTTTAAAGCAAAGTAAATTAGTTAAGAAATTCGCCTCAGCTCATGACTTTCAAAATCATTTTACAACATTATCATTCTGTATAAAACAAAAAAACAAAAAAAAAACAATATTTAATTAATAATAAAAAAGTATTTCTATAAATAAAAACAACAAATTAATTCCATCTCTAAACCGTACATTTGTACAGCTTTATAAACTAGGTGAAAACATTCGATAACTCTACCCTTTCCTATAAAAATTTTTTCATTTTATTGGTTTAAAACAAAATTTTTCAGTTAAATAGTAAAATTTAAATAAAAAACAAAAAAAAAAAACTGTAACTAAATTAAAACTAATAACACAATATATAATTATTTGGTTAATTTGAATTAGTAATTAAGTTGTGTATATACATAAAATAAAAACAAATATATAAATAAAAGTCTTACTAACATTTGTAAATATGCAATTTTGTTATATATTGTATTCATATTAATTCAAAACTGTAAAAACTCTATTGAACTCTATTTAAAAAACTCTATTTAGTATCTCTATACTTTACCTAATACTCGTATATCTCTATCTTCATGCTTCATCTACTATATAAAGCGCTTTTCAAAATTTGTAAATTATAATAAAATCACCACTGCATTCTACAGTAAATTCTACTGATCTTCTCTATATAATATTATTTAATAAAAATTTAACTAAAGATTACTTCCAATTACGTGTCTCTCGTGAGAGCAGAGCGCATGTGTTGGATGTCGTTTATTGTATTTAATTTATTTAATAAACAAAAAGAGAATAAGAACGTAATAAAATGCTTTAAATTTTAAATAATTCAATACGTAAATAATTGGGCAAAATTTATACTAAAATACAAATGAAAATCTCATTTTTCATATAACTTTCTTAATTCTATTGAAAGCTGTTAACAGTTATAAAAGTATATAACAATATTTTTATATTGATAAATAAAAAACATATATGTGAGAAGTTTCCCCTCCACAGTTCTACAATGAAAGAAACTTTCTTTTAAAACAAAAAAAAAAAAAACCAAAAAATTATAACTCAATGAAAACTAGCAACAAAAATATTAGTAAAGCAATTACTCCCAATAACATCTACTAAATAGCCTTCCTTAAAGTTATTTTTCATTATAATTATTATTTATATATTTAAAATTTTTTTTTTCATTATTTCTGTGCACCTTTTTGAACAGTACAATTTTTCCTTTAAAATATGTAACATCCATTTCACACGTTACCCAATCAAGTTCACCACACCCCAATTACCACACCCAATGTAAAAATAATCATAACTACAATAATAATAATAATAATAATAATAATAATAATAATGAAAATAATAACAGAACTACAAAAAATCTTTGCACTAAAACCCACCAAAAGTCGAAAGTTCAAATGTATCGCGTCTATTTAACTAAACCACACTTAACTACACACGTCTATCCACGACCACAATCGTTTATCACAAATATAAATAGGTTAAGTTTAAGTTATTTAATTATTATACGCACACAAAACTACCTTACACCTTTAACCTCCACTTACCACAACCTTACACCCTCACACGCACAAATTTCCTAAATCTTAATCCCAAATTAAAAACCGTTTTTTTTTTCTATTGGAAGAGAAAACTATGTTCTTTTTTATAATTGAGCACATATAACTAAATAATAAGTTTATTGCTCCTTTTTCTCTTCTTTTTTTCTCTCTTTCTCTCTCTCACTTTCTCACTTTATATTTTAAATAATTTATCTTTTTACCCAAATTCATTTAAATAAATTATCCATATTCCCTTATAAAAATTTTATATATAAAAATAAAACTCTGTTATGCACCCCTAAAAACGAAAACACAAACTACCTTTTTCTCTCTTCGACGCTTCATCATTATAGACACCGAACAATGCAACTCCGATACGGATTGTCCAAGTGAAAAATCCTGCCTGCATGGACATTGTACTGACCCTTGTACAATGCGTGGTGCTTGCGGTGCGAATGCACTTTGCAAAACCGTACTACATCGTCCACGTTGTTCATGCCCAAGCTGTTATATAGGACGTCCTGAAGTTGAATGCAAACCAGATCCGAAATGCACTGACCTAACAACACCGCAACCACGCGATCCTCAAGAACAAATAACATGTACAAGTAGTGAGGATTGTCCAGATGTTTTACAATGTACTACGTATGGTCAATGCACAGATCCTTGCCAAAATCCACTTTTCATTTGTGGTGGTAATAAAAAATGTGAAACACGTCGCCACCAACCAGTGTGCGTTTGTAAATCCGGTTTTATAGTGAATGAATATGGTGAATTAACGTGTGCACCCGAAAAACGAGAATGTTATCGCGATGATGATTGTGCCTCAAATATGGCATGCACAGAAGGTAAATGCCGTAATCCATGTATTGTGCCTATAGGTCAAAATCCTATATGTGCCGAAAATAAATCGTGCGAAGTGCAGGATCATAAACCATTATGTATATGCATGAAAGATTGTCAGCCATCAATATCAATTTGCTTGCGCGATGCTGGCTGTCCAGCTGGACTGGCATGTCGCAATTATCAATGCGTCAATCCATGCGATTTTGCAAAGTGTGCGCCCAATTCACCATGCATTGTAGAGGACCATAAGCCGATTTGTAAATTCTGCCCGCCTGGATTTATAGCCGATGCAAGAAATGGATGTCAAAAAGGTAATTCATAGACGTTCTGTCATATCACTTAGCAACACTAAGCAAACAAGATCTCCTTTACTGTTTCTCACTCTTTCCGCTGCTCTCTGCTCACAAGCTCTTACATGTAATATTTTAATGACCTTCACAGCGCTACGTCTTGAAGCAAAATCTCAAGAACAATTATATTATAATGATCAAAATATGTAAAGCAAATTAAAACCATTGAGTCTGGAATTTTGAAACCAATTTTTTTATACACAATTTCCATTTATTCTATATCTTCAATCGAGAAGGTTCTTGTAAAGAAGCTAGCAATAAATATATGCACATCTTGTGTCCTTATATATATATTTATGTATATATATATAAACATAAATATATATATATATATATGAATATAAATATATATATATATATGAAAATAATTATATATATATATACATATATGTTAACTTAAACCAATTTCACTTTATGAAAGGCTAAATTATGTATAAACAAATATATACTGCAACAAATACACTACTTGCAAATGCCCTCCAAATCCTAATATTACAGATTAACATACCCAACACCGCCGCAGTTGCTTCTTCAAGCACCCATCTTCTAACAATATCCGCGTATAAATTTTTATTTTAACAAAGCGATACCAGTGTTTATTCGCGTTAAGTTTTCACTTTATCTGTTTATAACTAAACTATACAATTAAAAATTAATTTAAAATAATTCTAATTTTAATATAAGAACCGTATTTATACGTCCCGTCTCGTCTCGTCTAACTTTTAAACATTCACACACGCTCATGCTCACAATGTAACAAAAATGTTAATTCAAAATAATATCTTAATTCCTATTAAAGTAAAATCCCTTTTAAAAATATATTTCAAATTTGTAAACTTAAAATTAATATAAAATTATTAATCATAATTAATTACGAAAATTTATTGGTAATTGTTTGTAATAATTGTAAAAATTATTTTATTCTATTTTTTAATTCATTTACTAATTGTAAAAAATTGTAGCTAACTAATTGTAAAAATTAAATAATTTAATTATTAACTTTTAATTAATTTTAAAAAAGCAAAAAAATGTTGATACTAATTATATAATTTTTAGTTGTCTTTTAATAACTCCGTAATCCTTAAAAAATTAAAAATATATAAACCAACCAAAATTAACCAATATACTTAGTTTTTAAGTCCAGACAAAGCTTTTCAGCTGCTGTCTGCCTGTAATTTTGCGTTATCCTCCTATGTATAGTCAAAGTCCAAACTATTTATTCACACTGACTTCTCTTCTATTTTAAATTTTCATCTGTTTTATTTTACCTTTTAAATTTGAATTGTAAATACAATTATATTTATATATCATAATTTATCTAATATTTTTTTATTTTATCAATATGTTGTACATTTTATTCCACCTTTCTTCAATGTGTAAAAAACTGCTACTTCGTAAAACAAAAAACAAAATAATAATAACAATAATAATAATAATATTTAAAAAATAACATAATACTGTATAATAAAATATAACAAAATAAATTAAATACACATCAACCGTTTCATCAGAACCAGTCGTCAACTGTACAAACGATGATGAGTGCCATGATTCGTTCCAGTGTAATATAAGTGGCCAGTGCGTTGATCCATGTAAGACTGAGTGTGCCAAATCTGCAGTTTGCATAGTAAAAGCACATAAAATAGCTACATGCATATGTTTAGATACTTACACAGGAAGTCCCAGCGAAGACTGTAAACCTATAACTGAAATTGACCAAACATATAACTTTACTACAGAACAAACTTTAGAAACAACGACATTAAAGTATACGACTATGTTACTTGCAAATCAGACAGAAATGCGTACACGTTATACTGATATTGAAGCATTACCAGAAACTACAGAATCTTATGACAGTACTACACAAAAGAAATACACCGAAACGTTAAAAACTGAAAGCCCATATGTCACTGTTACTACCATAAAAGGTGAGACCACAGAATCTTTTTCTATGCCGCACTTACGTACTACTACTATAATACCCCTTGAAAGTAAACCAACATCGACTACGAACTTAACAACCACACTTGAAACTGCGAGTACTCCAAAGATTGGTACTACAGTGATACCATTATCAACTTTAGTACCAGTTTCAATGCTTATAGAAAATACTACTGAAACTACTGTTACCCGACTAACCGAAATTACTACGAGCCCATATGAAGTAAAAACAACTGCTTTACCTAGTTCTCTAAGAACTACAACAGAGGAAATAATTGATACAACCCTTAAAAAAGACGTAGGGGAAAAAACAACTTTCACTTCTGTTACAACAACCACGGAAATATCAACACCAATCGAACACAAAACCACAGCTATGCCAAGTGCACGTCGAACAACTACCGAGTCGATAGTTTATACAACAGGTAGCGTGGTTCCTGTAGAGGAAACTACTATGCCTAAGGAATTGGTCGAGAAAACTACAGAAACTGTTGTACCTCGAGTGACCGAAACGTCCACTTCACCGTATGAAGTAAAAACAACAACTTCAATCAGTTCCCCAAAAACAACTACAGAAAAAAGTGGAGAGTCTACAGTTACCAAAGAACTCATTGAGGAGACTACTATCGCCGGTATTCAAACCTCAACACCATTTGAATATAAATCTACAACTATGCCAAGTGCACGTCGAACAACTACTGAGTCGATAGTTTATACAACAGGTAGCGTGGTTCCTACAGAAGGTACTACCCTTGCTAAGGAATTTGTGGAAGAAACTACAGAAACTGTTGTGCCTCGTGTGATCGAAACATCCACTTCACCGTATGAAGTAAACACAACAACTTCAATCATATCCCCACACACAACTACAGAAAAAACTGGAGAGTCTACAGTTACCAAAGAACTCATTGAGGAGACTACTGTCGCCGGTATTCAAACCTCAACACCAATTGAATACAAAACTACAACTATGCCAAGTGCACGTCGAACAACTACTGAGTCGATAGTTTATACAACAGGTAGCGTTGTTCCTGTAGAGGAAACTACTATTCCAAAGGAATTGGTCGAGAAACCTACTGAGACTGTTGTGCCTCGAGTAATCGAAACATCCACTTCACTGTATGAAGTAATAACAACAACTTCAATCAGTTCCCCAAAAACAACTACAGTAAAAACTGGAGAGTCTACAGTTACGAAAGAACTCATTGAGGAGACTACTGCCGCCGGTATTCAAACCTCAACACCAATTGAATATAAAACTACAACTATGCCAAGTGCACGTCGAACAACTACTGAGTCGATAGTTTATACAACAGGTAGCGTGGTTCCTGTGGAGGAAACTACAATTCCTCAGGAAATTGTGGAAAAAACTACAGAAACTGTTGTACCTCGAGTAATCGAAACATCTACTTCACCGTATGAAGTAAAAACAACATCTTCAATCAGTTCCCCAAAAACAACTACAGAAAAAACTGGAGAGTCTACAGTTACGAAAGAACTCATTGAGGAGACTACTGTTGCCGGTATTCAAACTTCAACACCAATTGAATATAAAACTACAACTATGCCAAGTGCACTTCGAACTACTACCGAGTCAAGTGTTCATACAACAGGCAGCGTGATTCCTGTAGAAAAATCTACTATTCCTAAGGAATTAGTCGAGAAAACTACAGAAACTGTTGTACCTCGTGTAACCGAAACATCCACTTCACCGTATGAAGTAAACACAACAACTTCAATCAGTTCCCCAAAAACAACTACAGAAAAAACTGGAGAGTCTACAGTTACGAAAGAAGTCATTGAGGAGACTACTATCGCCGGTATTCAAACCTCAACACCAATTGAATATAAAACTACAACTATGCCAAGTGCACGTCGAACAACTACTGAGTCGATAGTTCATACAACAGGTAGCGTGGTTCCTGTAGAGGAAACTACAATTCCTCAGGAAATTGTGGAAAAAACTACAGAAACTGTTGTACCTCGAGTAATCGAAACATCTACTTCACCGTATGAAGTAAAAACAACACCTTCAATCAGTTCCCCAAAAACAACTACAGAAAAAACTGGAGAGTCTACAGTTACGAAAGAAGTCATTGAGGAGACTACTATCGCCGGTATTCAAACCTCAACACCAATTGAATATAAAACTACAACTATGCCAAGTGCACGTCGAACAACTACTGAGTCGATAGTTCATACAACAGGTAGCGTGGTTCCTGTGGAGGAAACTACTATTCCTAAGGAATTAGTCGAGAAAACTACAGAAACTGTTGTACCTCGTGTAACCGAAACATCCACTTCACCGTATGAAGTAAACACAACAACTTCAATCAGTTCCCCAAAAACAACTACAGAAAAAACTGGAGAGTCTACAGTTACGAAAGAAGTCATTGAGGAGACTACTATCGCCGGTATTCAAACCTCAACACCAATTGAATATAAAACTACAACTATGCCAAGTGCACGTCGAACAACTACTGAGTCGATAGTTCATACAACAGGTAGCGTGGTTCCTGTAGAGGAAACTACAATTCCTCAGGAAATTGTGGAAAAAACTACAGAAACTGTTGTACCTCGAGTAATCGAAACATCTACTTCACCGTATGAAGTAAAAACAACACCTTCAATCAGTTCCCCAAAAACAACTACAGAAAAAACTGGAGAGTCTACAGTTACGAAAGAACTCATTGAGGAGACTACTGTCGCCGGTATTCAAACCTCAACACCAATTGAATACAAAACTACAACTATGCCAAGTGCACGTCGAACAACTACTGAGTCGATAGTTTATACAACAGGTAGCGTTGTTCCTGTAGAGGAAACTACTATTCCAAAGGAATTGGTCGAGAAACCTACTGAGACTGTTGTGCCTCGAGTAATCGAAACATCCACTTCACTGTATGAAGTAATAACAACAACTTCAATCAGTTCCCCAAAAACAACTACAGTAAAAACTGGAGAGTCTACAGTTACGAAAGAACTCATTGAGGAGACTACTGCCGCCGGTATTCAAA